TCAACCGTTGGGGGTAAAAAAAGTGAATGAAAAATCTGATGGAATAATGTGCGTAAATATATAATACATACGGCACATGTACCATTCATGCTCCTACATATGTGTTTGGATATGTATTTGGACGAGGGGGAAGGATGAGGAAGGGATGGAAAGGGGCGAAAAGGGGGGAGAGGGAGGAAAAGAGAGGGGATAATGGGAAAATTCCCGGACATGTGTGCGGCAGTTGCCCTCGCCCTTCTGTTCGGGACCCTCCACTAGGAAATATTGATCCCTACCCTCTCCCTTGACAATTGGCCGAGTACGCAATGACGATTGCCGAATCAAGCCGAACACAGTGAAATCAACGAGTGGCAAACGTTGAAAAACCGCTAGACCGCCAGCTGTCTGCCGGCTCTCAGTGTCGGCCTCATCATCGGGTCATCATTCACGGTCTGACCTCGGTTAAATCTACTTCACATTTTCACTCCAACTTATTATTTACTTGATTCATTAATTACCGACACTTCCGGTTGTGCGCTTGTCATTACCGGGTCAACCATGATTCTAGATATTATACAGTTCATACAGTGAAAAAATGGTTGTGTGCGATGTTTGTGAAAATAAAGGTGAGACTCATTCATTTATTCAACCATGTTTTTTTTTATATATTTTAGTGGCTTGCTTTCGACGATTTAGTAATGAAAATTGACCATTCAATTAGTGGTCGATTTATTTATGGATTTTAGAGGTGTAATTGAGAGAAATTAGTGGAAATGATTAATGATTTTTTGGGGGGGTGGGGGGGCGGGGTGAAAATATGGATTTTGGAGATGGCCACATTTTTGGATAATTTTTTTTTATTTTAGGAAATAGAAATTTTTGTCGCGGTTCTAGTTGTTTTGTATGGAGAATTGTATTTTATAGTTTCTTTTCGTGTTGTTTAGTAGGGAAATGAGCATTTTACGGGGAAATGTGAAAAGAAAGCTTTTCGAGGAAATTTAATTAGCTGTAAAAAAGTTTAATAGTGTTTTCGGCTCAGATCGATAATTCTCGAGGAAAATGGAGAATTCAATAGAAAGAAAAACGTTGAAGTCAGAGTATTACAATTTAAGAGTTCTATTTAGTATCGATTACTCTGAATACTATCAATTTTAGGCGAAAATATCAGAAGATCGTTTTTATCGAAAATTTAATCATCGACAAAAAAGTCCTTCAGTATTTCTACGTCACATCGGTACGTTTGGAGATAAATCGAAAAACGTGCTATGCATTTGAAAATAAAGGTGAGAGAATTCCCTCATTAATTCCATCCACCGAATTACAATTATTCATTAAAGAGAAAACCCTTTTCTCTTCTGTTTGTTGTTCTGACTCGTTCCATTAATTCATGAGATCCGAGTAATCATCAGGTAAATCGAAAACAAATCAATACCCAAGACGTTTTAATTGTTATTCTCTCTATTGTCTCTTCATCTTCTTTGGAATTGTTTAACGCTCATTAATTACTAAACACTGACAAACACTTTCTCCGATGGAATTAATTCAATTTCTTGCTCAAATTGAATTGACCAATGCAAATCCATGCGTTACGTTGCATTTCGCAAATTCAAAGTATTGAAATTATTATTGCGCATTATCACAGGCGCCAGTTTATCGCAAAGCTGCATTCGTCCCGGGAACGAGAACATGTAATCTGGTGATATGAGTGTACTAGACATAATCCAAATTACCCGAGACAATTGAGATGATTAGTTCACTTGATATCCGTTGAGAATTCCGTAAAATTTCCCCCATGAAAAAAAAAACCACATGGAAATTACGAAAATTAAACATTCGGAATTTCATACTCGATTACTTATTGATTTATCTCGGGAAGTATTGAGATAAAATGAAAACAGTAAAGAACTTTTTTGTAGCCGATTGAATTTCCTCGAAAAAAAATCTTTTCACATTTTCGCTTAAAATTCATAGTTTTTCCGGAACACTTGATAGTTCAGAAATTCACAAACGTTCA